CTATGTAACGTCAAAAAAGCTACAATTTTCAAAAAGAAAGCAATATTTTGGGGTTATAGAAAAGGGGCATAACTCTCATCATGATAGTAATGATGGATTTCAGATAATGTGAAAAATGTGTACTGTTGGGAAACAAGTGAATACAGTGCAATTTAAATAAGTACAGTTAAACAACACAGTATCTAAAAATCAAAAAACTTTGACTACTTAGGGTATGTTGACGTTCATGACAGTATTAAAAATTGGATGAATGATTTGCAAACACTTGGAATTACATACCGGTATAAATAATTTACTTTTATTAGTATAATTTGCTCATTTTGCACAGTCATATGTCTTTCTCATGCAGATTATTAATGAACAATGATAGATTGAATTAGCAACTGTAAATGGCATACATGTATATGAATTTTATATATACTCTGTTTAGAGTTGAACTTTGGTATTATACTGTATATCTCTTTGACAGTTGACACTGAGTGATATTTTGAACACATTGAGATATCAAAGTCATTTTAAAGTCCCTTGAACAACATTTTTTTTCTATATATCTTACCCTGAATCTCTTGGATATCTCAGGTTTTTAGCAGTCCCATGAGCATTTCAAGATAACAAGTGTGACTTTATTCTATTGATTCAATTAATTTATGATTAATTATAAAAATATCTATCATATACTTTTATGTTAATGCATTAACATTTTATATTTTTCAGGCCATGTAACAAATGGTTGCTGAATTCATGAAGACTAGCTGGGATGATACAGTACTTTTCTACTCATATGAACCATATCTAAACATCATTTGAGGATCCCTTTCTCAGAAAAAAAGAATTTGCATATTCAAAGACTCTATAGTTTATTGTTTATTTGTACGTTGTTTAACATTCTTCTTGAGAAATTCTCACTCATATGGGGATGCCAACATTTGTCGGTGGAGAGCCGCAAATTTTGTCCTTTACTTGGCACTCATGGCTAATTGAGCAATGAGGGATTTTTTTGGTGCTAGCACCTACTGCAAAACAGGACCTCTGTATGTCCGACTGTGGGATTTCGAACCAGCAATTTATGGATCAACTCCTTACTCATGACTCTCGAGCAGATGCTCTTGCCACTGTGCCATGCAGGTGACTTCAGTTATAAAATGATAAGATTTATAACTTAAAACTGATGTTTTTAATTCAATCACGGTGTAGAAAATGTTTGCAAAAAAGGGAGGTAATAGCTACATGTAGCTCTCACTGGTATTGCATGCTTAAACTATATGAATTACATATTGTAATTACATATGTATCTTAAACCAGATCAGTAAAGAAAGAAACACTTGAATATTTTTACTATGAATTTTATTATAAGGTTGATTATCTTTAAAAAATGGAACTTTAATTTTTTTGAGTAGGAAAAAAAAAATATTTAGAATGTACATGTGCACTTAATTTTGTTTATTAAAAATATTCAAAATTTGGAGATCTTGTGAAGGGTATCTAAATATTGATTTATAAATTTTTATTTTATTTTTAAACAGCATAATTTTTATTATAACATATACCTGTAATATACAACTTATTTGTTGTTGAACATTCCATTGTCTGTCTACATGTAGTGCTTAGTAAATTTCTTGTATATAAAAACATGATTGCATGCTGTTTGTTTACTTTGTCTTTTTTTTAATATGAGTCATGATATATAAATGGTGTGCATATCAGTTTAAATTATTTTTGTTGAATTCAGTTAACAGAAAAAATTAATAACTAAATATAATTATGTAGATAGATACCTTCCAGAAATATTTGCATGTACTAGTAGCTGTAGATATGTAGCTTATGTGAAATCAGGTATGCTTGAAAATCAATTTACCTGTATTTATTAAACAGAAATTTAGTGAATACATTCATATACCTATGCTGTATTTCATACTGAAAATCCACTGTGTTAATGTTTTACTTATTCAAAGTAAAAACTGACCAGAAGTGATCTTAATGAAATAAATTTATCTCACAATATTTTTTTCTCCCCCCCCCCCCCCCCCCAATTTTATCACAATTTAAATGTATATATAAATTGATAAAAGAAACTGACTATACCATTAAAAAAAATCTTGAGTTGTCTTTCCTTGTTTAAAGAAAATATCTGATGCAATGAATGCTCCCTTGGGTTCATGACCCTGAATATTAATAAGGTTGGGAGGTGTGAAAAAGTCAAATATATGCTCGGATTAAAAAAGCAGTTTAACATTTATATATTTTAATGAAAAGTGCAAGCGCTAAAATTTATTTGCGCCAATGCATTCCCAGTTGCGTTTTCGCTAAAATATGTATGCTCCAAATTTTCTCGTTTTACAGTAGATAAATAGATAACTGTTGCATTTGATGTTTTCACTTATTCAGGAATTCTGATCAGATTTTTTTTAAAAAATCATCTTTTCAGTAATATAAGTCTGTTAAATCCTTTGTCATCAAATAAGAATAATATGTTAACGGCACGGCTGTTATGGCGAGAACAGATATTTATTTTGTAATACATTTTAGACCGGGCTCGGCAAACTGCACATGACATTTGGTGCGTCTAGACTCTGACGTCACATGACGTCATATGTAAGTTACATACTAGTATTTCCAAAAAGAAGCCTGAACAGTGATGAAAGTAAATGAAGAACATTTCGTTTACTATTTAACTTCAATACTTATACATTAAATCATGGCATGTTCACTTTTAGTTGAACTTTTGCTGCTATCCTCGTTAGATTGTAGCTTTAAAAAGTGATTCATTGTGGGTCCAAATTATTGCGTCAAAAAATTCTATCGAATGAATGTGCAGTAGTCCGAATTTTCTCTTTGCACAGGAGTTGCTGTAACAGCTCGCAGTGACGAGCGTCGCTTTGTTCGCCATCACAATTAAAATTAAATATTTTATTTCATTTGTTTACAATATCAACCCAATCTATGGACTAGGTCAATAACACACTGTTTCATATGATATCTGACACATGCCTCTTTAATGAAGTTATGAAAGTACTAAACACAGGGTGTTTTGTTTTGCTCAAAGCATAATTTATTATACATGCAGTACCATCAAATGAACATAGTCAAATGTCGAACAATATAGTATGTAGAGAGACAATTTCTTTTTTTTTTTTTTATTTTCAAATTGGTAATTTTTTTTTAGGGCTACAGTTTTAATTTGGGACTCCTGTACTAGGAATGTCATATCTTAGCAGAATTGTGCCACTGAATTAAAAGGGAACTCTTTTTTTTAGGTGCACATGATGCAAAGTCCTGGATGGTATGTAGGCTGTTTTCAAACATCTGAAACCCACATGTATTTCAGGGTAGGTATGTTTACTCCTAATTCTCTTTCTTAAAAGGTGCATAAGGCATATTTTGTCTGATTTTAAAGTTTTGTCCCAGCATTTATTGTTTTAAATTATTTTTTATTTCATGAGTTATCTGCTGAGAGTCTAGTTAATTGATTAATCAAAGCTATGTAGTAACACATACTAGTGAAATTATCTCCTTGTGTGAGACCAAAAGATATACGAATTGACAAAACATGGACCTTTCAAGTGATATCATTGTATTTATTTTATTTCATGTCATCCTAATTTAGGAATTGGTTCCAATTAACCTAAACAATTGGAATATTAGTATGGGAAGATATAATTTTATGATATAATTTCTTTGTAGGAAATGCTTGTCAGGACCCAAGACTGAAAAAAAGACTGAAAATCTGCCTTTAAACACAGACATTATTCATATCAATGGATAAACTAGAAACATCCAAACAATATTACATCAGAATCATAAGAGACTGTCAATTGTTATCCCTCACTGTGGCAGAAACACCTAAATAAACATTGAAATGATAAATTTCTTTGTTTATTGTTTTTCTATTGATCTATGAATAATCGCAAAATATTTATGGGAATTTCGCACGATTTATACATGAAAAATTGATAAATTAAAATTCGCATGTATATCATATATAACATGGTCACATGAAAATCGCATGAATTTCGCATAAATATTATATGAGGACATTCGCATGAAATTTGCATGTGTGATTTTTCGCACGATTTTTGTATGATTTTCGCATGAAATTCATGCGAAAAGCAAATCGCATGAAAATCATGCGAGCCACTTTTCTCTGTGTAGACTAGCAAACAAGAATGAACGTACGTTGCTGAGATCGCTAGTCATATATTATTTCATATATTGTTTGTTTCCCCTGTATACACGAAACTTGTTACAAAAAATGACTTTCAACATTTCCTTATCTTAAAATTCACATTCATTCGATAGAATTTTTTGACGCAATAATTTGGACCCACAATGAATCACTTTTTAAAGCTACAATCTAACGAGGATAGCAGCAAAAGTTCAACTAAAAGTGAACATGCCATGATTTAATGTATAAGTATTGAAGTTAAATAGTAAACGAAATGTTCTTCATTTACTATTTAACTTCAATACTTATACATTAAATCATGGCATGTTCACTTTTAGTTGAACTTTTGCTGCTATCCTCGTTAGATTGTAGCTTTAAAAAGTGATTCATTGTGGGTCCAAATTATTGCGTCAAAAAATTCTATCGAATGAATGTGCAGTAGTCCGAATTTTCTCTTTGCACAGGAGTTGCTGTAACAGCTCGCAGTGACGAGCGTCGCTTTGTTCGCCATCACAATTAAAATTAAATATTTTATTTCATTTGTTTACAATATCAACCCAATCTATGGACTAGGTCAATAACACACTGTTTCATATGATATCTGACACATGCCTCTTTAATGAAGTTATGAAAGTACTAAACACAGGGTGTTTTGTTTTGCTCAAAGCATAATTTATTATACATGCAGTACCATCAAATGAACATAGTCAAATGTCGAACAATATAGTATGTAGAGAGACAATTTCTTTTTTTTTTTTTTATTTTCAAATTGGTAATTTTTTTTTAGGGCTACAGTTTTAATTTGGGACTCCTGTACTAGGAATGTCATATCTTAGCAGAATTGTGCCACTGAATTAAAAGGGAACTCTTTTTTTTAGGTGCACATGATGCAAAGTCCTGGATGGTATGTAGGCTGTTTTCAAACATCTGAAACCCACATGTATTTCAGGGTAGGTATGTTTACTCCTAATTCTCTTTCTTAAAAGGTGCATAAGGCATATTTTGTCTGATTTTAAAGTTTTGTCCCAGCATTTATTGTTTTAAATTATTTTTTATTTCATGAGTTATCTGCTGAGAGTCTAGTTAATTGATTAATCAAAGCTATGTAGTAACACATACTAGTGAAATTATCTCCTTGTGTGAGACCAAAAGATATACGAATTGACAAAACATGGACCTTTCAAGTGATATCATTGTATTTATTTTATTTCATGTCATCCTAATTTAGGAATTGGTTCCAATTAACCTAAACAATTGGAATATTAGTATGGGAAGATATAATTTTATGATATAATTTCTTTGTAGGAAATGCTTGTCAGGACCCAAGACTGAAAAAAAGACTGAAAATCTGCCTTTAAACACAGACATTATTCATATCAATGGATAAACTAGAAACATCCAAACAATATTACATCAGAATCATAAGAGACTGTCAATTGTTATCCCTCACTGTGGCAGAAACACCTAAATAAACATTGAAATGATAAATTTCTTTGTTTATTGTTTTTCTATTGATCTATGAATAATCGCAAAATATTTATGGGAATTTCGCACGATTTATACATGAAAAATTGATAAATTAAAATTCGCATGTATATCATATATAACATGGTCACATGAAAATCGCATGAATTTCGCATAAATATTATATGAGGACATTCGCATGAAATTTGCATGTGTGATTTTTCGCACGATTTTTGTATGATTTTCGCATGAAATTCATGCGAAAAGCAAATCGCATGAAAATCATGCGAGCCACTTTTCTCTGTGTAGACTAGCAAACAAGAATGAACGTACGTTGCTGAGATCGCTAGTCATATATTATTTCATATATTGTTTGTTTCCCCTGTATACACGAAACTTGTTACAAAAAATGACTTTCAACATTTCCTTATCTTAAAATTGTACTAAATATTTCTTCACCTTAGAAGTGTGTAGCGACATTTCTAAGCATGTCCGATTTCGTTGCCTTATACTCGCTGCAATTTTGAAAATGATCTAAATATATTGTAAACCAACAATTATTCGTGTCATCTTTTATTCGCGATTCGTCCTTTTGAAATCAATCCGCGACGATTAATATTCGGGACAGAAGAAACATTCTTCACAAATACTAAGCAAAATTATTGGTTTGCGGCGATTAATATTCACGAGTTTAAGTCGATCTCGAAGCTCGCGAATATTTCTCGCACACAAATAAAAGTTGGTTAACAGTAATTAAAATAAACGACGTACACTGAACACAATCATTGAAGCCATCCAAGCAATATTTAAGGAATACAACAGGTAAGAAAAATTGTGTATCAGCAGATTGGTTACTAATTACTGTATAAACACAGCCACAGGCAATAACTGGCGATTTACGGGTGTTGATGACGACCCGCTAATAACCGTATGTGAATTCTGTTCACATGTGAAGTGTATTCTGAAATAAGAAATAATATACATCCGAGTAACCGAGTACCATGTTTAGTATTCGATACTCGGACGTTCGATCAAGTACCCGGTTAACCGGGTACTCGTTGACATCCCCAGTTTTAAGACATGATCTTTATGGAAAAGGTTGTTTTTAGGATTGTGATTTTCCTACTCTCCAATAGTTTAAATTTCAATTGCATATTTACTTCTTTAGTCAGTAAAATATAAGAAATATTATAAGAAATGACAAACTCTCTATGATGGATTTTATGTTCATTATCTAAATATATTTCAATTAAGAAGTACTGAGATTGAGTAGACATATGAATGCATAAGGCCTGGGACCAACTACACTCGCCTGATTCATTTAGACATGGTGCATGAAACGTATGGAACAGTATTCAAGATCAAAAGTCCATGAAACATTACAAAATAAGGCACAGCAAACAGGGACCTCCAAAACATCAGAGGTGGGATCAGGTGTCATGGAGGTGTGAGCATTGCCTGCCGACCGGTCACATCCGCTGTGTGCTCCTTGTCATGATCGGAAAAATAACGAAAAGTCTGTCCTCATTTCAGTGTAAAAATAATTTATCTATTTTTTTTATTATTATTCTTATTTAAAATTAATAAAAAAAAATTCTTATTTCATATGATGGACCAAATTCTAGCTGTAAAGAACTATATGATTTAATCAATTTTGATATTTAAAAAATATTTGGGATTTTTTAATGTCAAATACAATCCACATGCATGGCCTTCATGCCATAATGTTTCTTTAACAAACATTCACATTTACTTACAGTTTTCATCCTGGATAAAATATCAAAACACAAGATTTGTGTGAATTGTCATTTATTGACATCGACGCTGTATATTAATTATACATTAAATGGGGAGACCCAAAAACCTTAAAGTAATATTTTTTTACATAACAAAGTAAAGTTTTATAATGATCTCCCCTGTTACATGTAAAAACAATGTATGAAAAAACAGCTCAGATTGTAAAACATATATACGTTATTAGCAAAAAGTTTGCGTTCAAAAATAAAACAGAAGATCAGAAAAAGCAAACAAAGGTTGCAAAAACGCCAACTATGCAGATTATTCATTTTGCAGGGGTCACAAATTTACCTAGAATTCAATTAATCTATTTATTTCTGCCCCCCCCCCCACTTTTCAAAATAACAAGCCATATAAGCATTTATCGAATCTAGATCTAAGACTCCGGTTTGAATGTTAAGGGCCTTGTCCAAGTATGTATTCGAATACCTTACATGTACACCAAAAGTCAATGTTAGTAAAATACGTAACAAAATGCAACAGTTTCTCTTTAACGTTTTCAACTCACAAATCGTCACCCTCACAGAAACCAGTCGGCTGCCTCAATTACCATATAAATACAAACAACTTCGATTTAAAGGTATAAATATACAGTGAAATATGAAATAGTTTATTCGTAATTTGATACATTTAGCAATTATTATTACCAAAATATGATGAGGTTGTGCATGGGATAAGCAAGTTGTTGTGAAAGTAATATAAAAAAAAAAAGAGAAAACAGCCTTGCGATAAGAATCTACATAAAGAGTGACCGGCACTTGTCGCATTAGATGACATGCAATCATTATCTTATTCACATGGGCTTTGATTTTGGGAATTTCAATCTTAATCAATAATATTTGATTATAGCGATTTATACATCTAGTAAGTAAAAAAGATAATTTATTGTAACTTTTGATTGAAGGATGCTTTAAATTTCAAGTAATTAAAATCACGGGGAAATTAAAATCCTAAAAGCTACAAATAATACAAATATTAAAGTAACTGTACGCCACCGTTGTAATGCGAGGCATGCATTAAAAAAATTACATCTCACGCGCAATGTGTTGAAATATTAAGAGTCTTCTTGTTATCAAGGGCAATCATCACAAAAGCGGTCGTCGATCCGATTGACCAATTATTATCATTTCATCTCTATGTTATAAATTAACGTTGACATTAAATGCTCGAAATGAGAGATTTAGGTTAAAATGCATGAAGATAACGAACAGTTTTTAACAATACTTTACAAATCAGAAGTACAGCACACATGGTCACCAAAAACATCCGATGTACGCGAGAAATTAGATACCATGGAAAAAGCGATTTTCCTGTCTGTTTTCAAAGCTTAAGATTTTCATGTCAGCAAAGTTCAACTATTTTTGCTTCATAAAGATCTTAAGCATTTAAAATCAATGTGTACAGCTACTTAAAACTGTACAGATTAATCATGAAACTGTACAAGACAGTTATTAACTTTTCCACGTTCGAAGTTCCACTTACAAGCCAAGAATTACACACGCTAACTCTCGATTCCCGCCTACATTTTGCAACCATTTATTTCAATGTACATGGCATTTTTTTCCATAAAGTCTTTGTTTAATACAAAGAACAGTTCAATGGAAATTGATGAATTTTCTCGATACCAGCGCTAAATAGAAAATTATCAATAACTCCAGCTCTTGAAAAAAGGGGGGTGAACGATATTTTCCACTAAAATCGGACTTTCAAGCATCACCATATTTTGAAAGAGTCTTTGATATGATTAAATGTTCTTTATATCTTTTCTTTTGTTTTAGGCAAGTAAATAAAACATAAATATATTAATAAAATATAAGGTTTGAATTGTAATTGTTTTTTTTTTTTTTTTTTCAATTAACATACTCGCAGTATGCCCCCCCACCGTGTCACACAAAAGCTTTGGTGTGAATTTGTGAAATAGCCGTCCATATTACCTGTAAAAAGGGATTTTTATGACACGGGGAAAATGTTTTTAAAAAATTTTCCGTTTTCCGTTGATATCTATAGTGAAAAACACAAGTTTTACCAAACTTTTAGCATTATCTCTCTTTGTTTTCTCAAATAAGTAATGTTTGAAGAAAATCCACATACATGTAATCATCAAGAAAAACTAGAGCAAAGCTCGTTGCAAAGCAACGAGTGGGTCTTCCTTCTAAGCAATAAGCAAAAAGTGAAATGTTCAAATGTCAACTTTGCTACCATTCTTTACTTCTTTGACTCAAACAGCAAAAACCCTTTCTTAAAGTCTGATTCTGGAGTGAGCACAAGGATAAACAATCCAATGGTAATCTCTCCAACACCATTGAAACTGTACCTACAAAATTTATACAACCTCATATTTTGACTTTGATTTGTAGACATATACTAGTATCACCTATGATGCAATCATATTAGTGAAGTGTTTTATGCTACGGATATATCATAAGCTTAAAAATTGCTTCAAAAACATTTACACAGTATAATTAGATAGTATTACAATAGAATGTAATCCCAATGTGTTACTGATGAACTATCTCCATTTTTTTGTCAGTCAGATAAAAGACCATTACTTTTACAAGAAAAACAAAGGAATGTGTTGTGCATGTTTCTAATTTGCAGACCTCCACTGGCAAATGGTGGTATCTCAATAAGAGTGTAGTAAAGTTCTCTGAACAGGACATTCAACAAAGAGATCTCCTTTTAAAAGCACTGCCCTTCATATGAACAAATTTTATTCCCCTACACTAAAGAATGCTCTGTGCCAAGTTTAACTTAAATTGTCCTGTGGTTCTGAGAAGAACATGAAATTCTGATGAATTTAATTCAAAGATGATAATGGGTGACTTTTATTTTTTAAAAAAAAAATTACTAAAGCATTAGATCATATGAGTTAAACTGTATACAGATTTAGTGCTTTGTTGACTTTGAAATATGATTGGACACCCCTTTGATCTTATGTTTGAAACAACATGTACATGTCCTTTGTGCTGAAAAATGCACATATGTTAATGGTGTAATTGTTTATGGCAAAATAGTAACTTTCCTTCAATAATACTGTAAAAATACACATATTATATCTTAAATATTGCTAAGACAGAGCTTTATCATCTTAACCATTAGCATTGGTATGTCTTCCCTTAGAAACGGAAGACCTTAATACATATCTATGTAAACATGCAAGATCTGACACATTTAAAAAGAACATTTATTCCAAACTAAACATACTAGATTCTGTAACAAAATCTATT